GGCTGTGCCAGGGGAGGGTCAGGTTGGACAGCGGGAATTTTGTCATGGAAAGGGTGTTCAGGCAGCATTGGAAGGGGCTGCCCAGGGAGGTTTGGAGTCCCCATCCCTGGAGGGGATGCCCAAGGAAGGCCTGGCCATGGCCCTCAGTGCTCTGGGCTGGGGGACAAGATGGGCATCGGGCACAGGTTGGACTCGATCCTGGAGGGATTTTCCAACCTCAGTGACTTTCTTCCATGACCAGTGAATTTAACTCCTGTGGTGGGTGATGGAAAAGCACCATTCCTGTTTGGGAAAGCTCCTGCCCACCCCCTTTAAGCTCAGTAGAACTGTACATTCAGGTATTTCATGTCCCTTCTGCAGAGCTGGACGATGCCTCTCCTGACAAAGCAGCAGTGCCAGATGACACGGGGCAGTACCAGCGCTGAGCAAGTGGCCAAGCTCTAGACAAGCAATAAACCATCCCCCCCCCAATTAAGCATTGCTCTCGAGGATGATTTCAACATTTAATGACTGAATCATGCAAGTTCTCTGCAATCAAAAGCACACTCGACTGGGTAAGTGAGAATCAAGGAAACATCCCAAAAAACTGCGGCGAGCCGGGCACGAGCTGCCAGTGGCACTGGGACCAAAAGGACTTTAAGTGCCAGCCTGACCCTGAAAGGTGTGAGCAGAGAGGATTTCCCAGCAGTTCCTCCTGTAAATGAACTTCCTTACCTGTTCAGGACGGAAGGTGGGAAGGAAGAGGTTCTCTCTGCTCCACCTGTGACTGAATGTCTCCTGGCTTAGTCATTGAATTGAACAGATTATTTTTCTGGCCTGTAATGTACAGGAGCCCCTTGAATTTACAGCACAATACTGGATTTTAATTCATTTTTGTGCAACGTGGACTCGAGTCGATGTCACCTCCATTTACCCTCCCAAAGGGGAACAGTTCCACACTGTCTATATTTGCACACTTGATTCCTGTATATTCCACACTTACAAACACCTTCACTAAGACAGTGTCTTACTCAGCATGCTCAGGCCTCTTGATTATTACAATCATTTGCTTTTCTTTTTTTGTTTGTTTTTTTTTGGGGTTGTTTGTTTGTTTTTTAAAGAATGAGTTGTGATGGGTTCGTTTTGCTTCAAGTAAGTCACTCACTTCAGCTGCTGCAGTGGCAGTGTCCTTTTAGGGTGGTTTTATTTCCAGCTTCCAACTGAAGCTTCACCAGAGGTATTTGGGAGCCAGTCTCCAGCTGCTTTACCTGTGCAATATTCTCATCCAGGTGCCTTGTGTAAGGTACTCTCATAGCCCACGCATGGCCTGCTCCAGCTCCGGGGGAAGGACTGGCTTTAGAGGAATGTAAAAGCTCCAAACAGCTCCTTCTTCAGTGAGTGATTGGACATGTTCTTCTTGCTTTAACTGCTGTATGTGGATGTACATATGTATGTGTGTATATAAAGCAGTGTTTAATTAAAGGTGATTGATTGCTAAATTCTCCCGTGCCTGGACTCGGGTACCTCCAGCTTTTCTGGCCAAGACCATCAGCTCCTCCATTCACCAGCTTTTAAACTCAGCCTGAATTTACCAGCTGTTTTAATTTAAACTCTTTTTAGCATTTCTAGAACCCCAGAATGGGTCTGGTTGGAAGGGACCTTAAAAGAACCTCTTCTTTCACCCTCCTGCCACGGGCAGGGGCACCTTCCACTAGCCCAGGCTGCTCCAAACCTGGCCTTGAATTTAGGTTTAGTTTCATTAGAGAAGCCTAGAATAGGTTCTAATTCTGGGATGTTGAGGCAGAGGGATGAGCTAAACCCAGAGTTTAACTGCATTTACCTGTTCCTGCATTTGCTTAATACCCTCACCCTCAGGTACAAAGTCACTTTAACTCATCAGCTCTTGAGGCTGTTTCCACAGGACCATCCATGGGGGCTTGTGAAGATATTTTATGGGAAAAAAGGCTTGGAAAAATGGAAATAACCCAAAGAAGCTGTGGCTGCTCCATCCCTGGGAGTGTCCAAGGCCAGGTTGGAGCAAACAAGGTGTCCCTGTCCATGGCAGGAGGTGGCACTGGATGATGTTTAAGGTCCCTTCCCACCCCAAACCATTCCATGATTCTACTCCAATCCTAGATCAGATTCCAGCCCGGGCAGGATGTGCTGCAGTTCTTCTCCAGCTCCACAGGATGCCACTGTTACTCTCCTGGAAATTACCATGAAGGAAAAAAAGCCTGTGTGTGTGTGCAAAACCCATTTGCAGCAAAGAAAACCCCACCCCAAACTGTCCTTCCTGAGCCCCTCCCACCATGAGAGCATCTCTGCAGCCCTGCCCAGAGGAGAGGAGCAGAAACAATGCAAGGAGGGGGTTTTTTGGAAGGGGATCTCCACACCAGCACTGTCAGCTCTTCAATAATCTCAGTGTGTCCCTGCAGGTTTGGAGAACACGGGGCTAAATCTGCTCTGCCAGAGCAACAGTGCTCCTGTCACCAGTTTGGCAGCTCAAATCTCCACTCTCAGGTCTAGACAGAGGGTCTACTTAAAGAAAAAAATGCTACTTAAAAGGAAATTTTCACCAGAATAATACCTGGTTTGGGAAAAAAAGACCCAAACTTCCCAACTCCATCTCTATCTCCAGGCTGTAAAAGGACTTTTTACCTCCAGGGCTGCTGAACTCCCTCCTTCTCCCAGCCCAAGGTGCCCTGCAGCTGTAACTTTCTATTTCCTCCACTGAAAAAAATGAAACAAACCAGTCAAAAAGAGCAGAAACTTTGTTAAAAATATTTATTTAAAAAAATACAATTGTTTTGCATGTCTGGTTGCACATAACTATTAACATATGATTGACTTGAATAATTTTGCTACAATGCTTTTTTTTTAAAGCCAGCTTGCATTATACAAAGCAAATCCCTCTGTCAGTTCTTACATAAAATAGTTTTCTTTAACTATTCCCGCCCCGTTTTTAAAAAAGATTGCAATACATTGATTTTTTTCATTTTTCATTTTTTTTTTGCACAAAAATCGAAGCAATAGAAAAGTCACCTGATTTCTCAGGAAAGACCTTCATGATGTTTGAATAACAATTACCAATGAGCCACTGTAAAAGCAGCATTTGAAGTGTCGTTACAGTGCAAAGGAAGTTTTGCATCTTAAAAACTTTTGCCTCCAAATTGTATTCAAACCTGAAATGTGTTCAAATAACTCCACATTCTGCTCTAATCAAGCTGATCAGACTTTTTGTGACGTCAACATGCTGAAGGTCTTCCTAAATGTTATCTTGGAAGGTTAAATAAAAGCAAAATTTAGTAACACTGAACAATTACTGAAAACTTTGGCTATTTATGTACTTGCATTACATACCAGCATTTTTTTTTTTAACACAATGGCATTAAGATAACTCTTATTATAAGGTATTATTTAAAAAAAGAAAGTTAGACTGAGAAGCTTTTCTGTCCCAGGCAGGTTCACCCAACTGTAACAAGGACCACAGAGGGGTGAGGTTACAGTTGTCTCTAAAAGATCATGTCTAGAAAAGTCTCCAGTGTAGGAAGTTGAGACACTCACTACAACATAACTTGCTTTGTCTCTAGACTTGGTACTATATATATATATTTATAGAAAAAAAATGCAATTCTGTTCAGGAAAGAGCAACTGAAAATGTTCTCAGTGTCGTTTTTACCCCTGTTAAAATCACAGGAAGGTAAAACTGGATCCATGGCAGAGTCAGGAGTCACCTGACAGGGAAATCTGCTCCCAGCAGAGCTGTCAGAGCTGCTGGAGCCCAAGAAAACCCAGCTTAGCCTAAAAAAAAAAATAAATTCAACCACGGAATAAAACCCACTGAAGGCATCAGGAAGTCGCTTCCCAGAACAGAACTGCAGAAATAAACAGGACAAAACTGGCCCACGTTCCCACCGCCGAGCAGGTCATTGCTTAAGTTGCTAAAAATTACACTTCAAACTTCCCTCCCCTGAACTGTCCCAGCCCAAAAGCTGCCCCCAGAGCAGGTTCTCAGCCCGGGGAAGTCGGAGCAGGTGTGGTGGAGCCAATGGAGCTGCTCTGATTTCCAAGCCCCTGGCACACGATCCACGTCTGCCAAGAGCCTCAGAATTCCCAAGGCAGTCGAAGGGTTTAGTCCCAGATTAATTCCAGCTGCCCCAATACCCATTAGGGGAGACAACCACCACCCTTCCCTAGAAATTTTCCCGTTTATTCGGCTCTGTTATCACAAATACACTTCTCAGCTATAAAAACAGAGGGGAAATAAGCATTAAATGTGCTACTGTACTTATCACAAAACACTGTGACGTACATAAGGCCATCTGGTAACACTGCAACAGGATACAAACAAGATCTGAAAAGGGAGTTTTTTAGGATACAACTTGGTTTCTTTTTTAAAACTACAAGGAATAAATCTCAACCCTGTTCACAGAGAATCAACGTCAAAACTAGCACATCATATATAGAAAACTCTGTGCAACTGAACAACAGCAGAACAAAAAGTCAACACAATTCTAGAAAGCAGTTTCAAAGCCTGAAGGTTTAAGACATGCCAGCCAAAAAAAAAATAAAAATAGAAAACAACAACAGGAAAAAAAGAAAAAAAAGGAAAAGAAAAGAACAAACCACAACACATCTCAAGGAGCTTCGAGCAAAGCCAGGTATTGGAACCCCCCCACCCCAGCACACAGCACACACTTAGGAACCATGCAGAGGCCACCCTCAAAGCCTTCCTGTGTTCAAAAAAAAAAAAAACCCATGAAAAAATAACCCCCAATTGAAAAAAAACAAAAAATAAAAAGTTAAAATAAAAATAAAGAAAAAAAACCAGAAAAAACAACAGCTTCCAGTTATTGGTACAGCACTGCTGCATGTACTGCTCAAGGGCTGAAATGGGCTCCAAAATCACCTCCAGCCTCCCCCTCACGGGTCACTCAGTGTCTCCATGAAGGTCCCTGTTCTCCAAAAGGTTCAGCATTACCCTGTTCCACCCCCTGCCAAAACCACTTTGAGATGAAAACCTTCTGCAATGCCTGGTCTCAAGAGAGAAGAAGTGTTTCGAGTCAAGGAGTCCAAACTTTTGTTCTGTGAACGCAAAACTATTCAAAGACAAATTTAAGACACTTTTTTTTTCTTCTTTTTTTTTTTTAGGAGATGTGGCATCCAACAGTGTCAAAGCTGCTTTTAAAAATACCCTTTGGCAACTCACGGGTCCATGACTGACTAAAAGAAAAGTAAAAGCCCCCAAAAAACCTCCCCAGGGTGTGCAAAACGTTTAAAAGTGGCGACTGCACAGTGCAGTGGCTGCTTTGAGTGAACAGGGCAAGGGGTATTTATACAAATTTGGAAGCCAGACTCCATCCTGGACACATCCTGTCAGGCATGACACGTGTGCTCCATGCAGGGCTATTCCAGGCACAAGGAATCTAAAAAAACCTCCCAGGTTTTCAGCTCTCGGGGTGTGCTTCTCGTCAGGGAGCTGGAACAGCTCCACAGGCAAAACCTTCTACTATGTTTTTTGGGAGGGGTAAACAAAAAAGCAACTCTGGTCAGTTTTAGGGTGTTTTTTTTCCCCAAAAAATAATGTTTATGAAGCAAGTATCTTGTTATTCCAAAAGGGAAATCCTTTAACACACACATCCAAGAAGGAACACGGGCCCTGCCCAGCTTTCCTACCTGGCAGAGCCTGGTTCTGGCTCAGCCCAAAACCAATCCCCCTTCTGCAGTGAACAGATCCTCCTTATTTCTGTTTGTTCTGGGTAAAAAGGCAGGAATAACGTGCCTCAGGTCAAGATCCAGCAGACACTAAACCCAAAGCTTCACCTTTCTGCTCCAGATGGCACCAGGTCCATCAGGGAACTTCCAAAGGAGCTGCTGCTGCTGAACAGATTTGCAGGGATGTACCATCCCTGTAGCTTTGCAGCTCCTCTGTTGTACCCTTATGACTAAAATTAGGCTGTGGAGAAAGATTTGGTTGCATTTCCAAGAGTTCCTCTCTGGCCAGGACCAGCTCTTACCTCCACACTACTCACTCCAGGTGGAATTTGTGTGCCCAGGGGCTGATCCAAGACAGAGCCTCCTGCAGGAACCCCCTGGAGAACTGCACAGAACTGTCACTGCATTTTATCCTTCAACCTTCACAGCCCCTGATCTCAGCAGAGCAGCTCCAGCACGTCCCACATCCCACCATCCCTGGATGGCCACGGCCAAAGGCTTCCCCTCAAAGCACATCTGCTGTCCAGACCCAACAGCTTCATTAAACTCCAATCAAACCATAAAATCCCCTGTTTAGGCAAGACATCCTATACCTCACCAAACATCCTGAACAGCTCCTGAGCACCATGATTGCAATCCTCACAGATTTTGGACTGATCTGCCAACTGTGACATCCTGGGGGGCTCTTTGCGACACCGCGCTCTGTGATTTTTTTAAGACAAAATAAACCATCCATCCCCACGACCTTAGAGGCCAGAAGGTCTCTTTTTTTTTCCTCCTATTTCTACTCTTACAGATACACATTCTATTTCTCACGTTGGAGAATTAAGAAATGAAACAGAACAAAACTGTTGTGGACACCCAAAAACTCAAACATCGAGTTTTAAAACACACCCGTCGACTCTGACAACGTTCTGTAACTACTGCTGTAGTTGATTTTCAGAGCTGACAATACCAAGAGAGCCTCTTGATACAACACTGAGATGTACTGTAAACAAATATGCCTTAAAAATGGAAGAGGTTAAATCATAAACCAGGAGTACATACAAAACTGCTATAAAACAGGAGCAAAAGGTAACTAAAAGCTAAATGAATAAATCATGGGAGACAAGAGAGTGTCAGAACTGCAGGTTCTGAGCTCAGCACTGGGAAAACGCTACAGAAGTGGATCAAAACTCTCACCTGAGAAAGCCATCACTGCTCTAGGACAGCTCTGTCCTCCCACCTCAGCCTGCAGAGCTCTCATGTGGAAGCTGAAGTCACGAGGGAACCTGACCTTGCTGCAGCTCAGCGTTGTGGGAAGCTGGGAAAAGGGAGATTTGCACCTAAGCAGCCTTCACTGTCCTTAGAAGGAACGCTATAAACACAAGAAGAATCTATTGGTGAGAAATCTGAGGTCTGAAAATGTATCAGAGGGAGAAATCATCCTAAACAAAACCACTGAACAGGCGAAGCCTCTCTGTTCTCACACACACTCCCCTACACCAAAGACTGTGTGGATACTGAAGTCTGAGGATGCTCCAAGTTAAAACACTGAATTTCCAAACTCGAGGAATTTTATCACTTGCTGACCTATTGCAAAACAGCTTGAATGTGCCAAAGACAGTGCATAGGAATTGCATTCAGCCACTGCTGGAACAGCTCAGGTTCTGAAACAAGGCTCTGGACTTGAGCTGCTGTTCAAAAAAAACCTCCTCCCCAGGATTCCCTTCACAGGTGAGACAGAACACGAATGGTTCTGTGACTGGAGGGGATCATGGACACATTCCTGCTTCCATGGACTGTCTGTGTTGCCAGTGGCATCCTGAGAATCTGGGATCTCAGCACCAGCAGTGCGAGACTCCCAACTCTGCAGTGACATGGAAAAGAGATTTCCAGAAGCAAGACGAGATGCTCATCCAGTCCAATTCTACCACCAGCTACCAATTAACCAATGCAAATATTCCCAAGCATTCCACAATCCCATGGCTGCTCCAGCAGCATCAACTGTCAGCTAAGAAAAGGTTTCTGTAATGCTGAATTATCACCTTTTTAAGCCACCACAGTGCAAACTGCCACCGTGGCCAGGAAAAGAGAACCTCTATTAACCCCCACCTGCCCTACACTAAATTAAAAAACAAGTTGCAAGGAGCTGCAAAGTGCTCCTGAAGTGACCTAGCAGAGAACCAGCAATCACATCCCTGAGCCCCAAGGAGTCACAGGACGCTGTGCTCCCTCAGGGATGTGATCCAAAAAAAAAAGCTGGCAGTTCCACACCTGTCAGTAAATGTGTGTTTAATCAGGCAGCATATATACAAGATAATATTCCCTTTAAGTGACCTGAAAGCTGGAATGGAGAAAAGGCAGCAAGCTGCTCCTCTCCCCCTTCCCAACTGTGCTTTCCCAACTGCCTCCTAAGATTGTGATCCTTACGTGGATTTTGATTTTCCCTTGGAAAGGAAAAGCAACCACCACCTCAGTGGATATTCCCAAATAAAAACCATCCCATCCAGGCTGCATTTCCACCCGAGTTTCCTCTGCACAAGGGATTCCCAAAGGGAAACGTGGCTCTCCCCCAGCTCTGGCAGTGCAATCTTAGGAAGCTTCTTGGAGAAGAGCAGGAACCCAGGCTGGGTTCTCTTGCATACCTCTGCTCAAAGTGATAAAAGTTCACAGAGAATTAAGTGCATGTGTGCACACACACAACTTTTTTAAACAAATAAACTTGGCTTTTCTCCATAGGGGGACAAGGAAAGGGAAGCAATTAAATTGCAAGGGGTTTTTAGTGCTCATTAAGTACTTTTAAACTCTAATCCTAGTCTGCAATGTTGCTCTCAAAAGTCCACACACTTGGTGGGCGTAAAATTGGCCAACCTAAAGCAACCATTAAAAAAAGTGCTGCTATTTATACATAGCTATATATATTTTTCTAGAGCAGACTCAAAAGCCACCATGCAAACCAGAAAATTCCAGATGCCTGCTCTCAATTATCATCTGCAGCTTTGCTTCTGCATTAAAAAAATAACAATAATAAAAAAAACAAAAAAAAAAGGTCAATATTGCACATTTTAAGAGCTGCTGGCACAGGAACTTCATCCTGCATCTGCTGATGTCTAAATGTGAAGCATTTATGCCTCTGACAGAACCCAACAGGAAGACAGGTCACTCCATGAGCTCACTCCCTGCTTCTTCTCCACCTGAAGAAGGAATACTTTTTTCTCCCATTCCCACTGTTCTGGATGAACAATGCCCTCCATCCCCCCCCCAAAAAAAATCAACTGTTCCACCCACCTGTCCCAGGTGTCACGTCAGGAACACACAAAGTGGTTTTTACACGTTTCAATGTCAGAATACAGGAAGGTAACATCACCAAGGAAGAGAAGTCTCGGGTGCTGTCACACCCTTGGAAAGTGAATTCCAAGCCTGCAAAAGTGGCAAAAGGGGAAAAAACTCTGGAAAGCTTTGAGTTCACCAAACTTCTCCATGGAACGGGTGCAATATGTACAGCAAACACTGTCAGCTCCTCTTGCTGCGAAATCTTCTGCTCCTGAAAACTCTGCAGGCAGCCAGTGAGGATGCTGAAGGAGAGAGATGTTCCCATCTGTTTTCTACTGGGTGTTTTATGGGAAAAGATTCCCTTCCATCCCCATCTCAACGCACGCAGTAGCAAAACAGAAGTTGCTGCCTGACATCAGATGCCCCAAGTGGAAGGAGGACACAGGGCCCAGCACCCACAGATCAAGACATCCAGAACTCTGAGGGGTTGAGAGAGGACAAATCTCCCTCCTTTCACTCCTCAGTTCTCTTAAAAGGCCTCCTGAGGTGTAAAAAAAAAATAAAAATAAAATCTAACTACAAATTTCGTTTCGTCTCGAATGGCTCTGGAAATTAAATCTCTCATTCTTAATCCATCCACACCACCAAGAAAAGCAATGCAAGAGCAGATTTACAGCCAGGTGGACACACTGAGCCTGATCTTGGGTCAGTGCTTCCTCAAGAAAAACAACAGCTCTAAAGCAAAACTCGAGCTAAGAGCTGGTAGAAGAGGAGCTCCTCCACTCGTGGAAAAGCAGGAAACTTTTCCAAACCTGTGGGAAAGAGCAGTAACGTTAATGCTGGGACATCTGTGCTCTCACCACTGTTTGGGTGTGGAACCTCCAGCACCAGGCAGCAACCTCAGCACAGGCACCCCCACCCCCCAAAACTTCCAAGGAAAATCCACCATCCTGCTCATCCAGCAGTGAGATCACAAGCTCTGGAACGGGTCTCTGGCACAAGAAATGTTTGGACTTCAGCATTCAAACTTTCTGAGGGTTGAAAGGAACTCGTCCCACCGCTCATTTCTCTCTCTCCAGACCTCACCTCCCCAGCGAAGGGAGGGCAGGGAAGCATCCAGGATCCAGCCAGGCCACTTCTCCCAGGGGCTGGGCTGGTGGGACACACCACCACCACCACAATTCCCAAATTGTCCAATATCTCAGGATATGAAGCATCATTGAATAGTCCTTGAAAATTTCTCCCTGCAAAAAAGACAAGATGTTTTTACAGCAGAACAGACCAGGCTGCTTTTGTTGCTGCAGAAGTCACCGTGGCCCCCCCAGGCAAAGCTGGAGTGCACACACCCCTTTCCCAAGCATTTCCTGGAATGCCAGCTTCCATCCTGATCACAGATCTTCTTGCCAAGCACAGGAAGCAGAAGAACAGAGGGTTTGTTTTGTTTTTTTTTTCCCCAAAAGTCACAGAGAAAAGACTTCCCTGACACTGTTCACTGCAATCAGTGCAGACTCAGTTGCTGCAACACCGACCAAAAAGTCCCTTTTTGACCACGTGAAATCTTCCAAACCAAGGAGGGAAGAGAAGAAAACTGGAGCTGCAGCTCCTATTAAGGCCTTTGCATATACATTCCCAACCTGGGTTCTTCAGAAAAAAAGGGAATTTTGCAAAAAAAAGGCATTTTTTTTACTTGGGAATGGCGAAAACTACGATTGTTGAGAATCTCTGTGTGGAATTATAAATTGCTCATTTTTAAAAAACGTGGTTAAATAGAAGTGTCCCATCTTTCCCTTGCTTGCCAATGTGTCCTTTTCCATGAGTTCCATGTGCTATGTCTTCTGGAGATCAGGGGAAAACGGGCCAGGGGTAGAGGGTCCATCCAGTCCAGACAGAGTAAATGGGCCATGACTGTTCAGCACTGATGGAAACTAAGAGACAAAACAAAAATGATTAGGCAAGAAGCCACTTTAATTCATTGTTTCTCCCATATCTGTGCACGTAGAAGCTCCCCCAGCCAAAAAAAAACAAACAACAAAACACAACAAAGAAAAAACACCCCAAATTTCAAAGAATTCTCTTGGATTTCCACTTTTAATTCACTTTTTTTAATGCCACTGCAACCAGTGGCACAGCAATCCCTGCCCTGAGCACTGCCCATGTCCTCAATTAATAAGTGACTTTAATACAGGTTGTTGGGAAACCACAGGTCTAAATAGTCCCTCAGTTAATTATCAGCTATTTCTAGAGGAAAATGCCCAGTGCATTGTTTATTCCCCATCCTCGTGGCACGTTATGAGCTACTTCCTTCATCTCCATGGAGATGGGAGATCCCAACCCAAAAAGCAACCAGTTCAATCCCACCCTTTGCCTGAGCAAACCCAGGCAGCAGATGTGGTTATTCCAATGCCAAAGTGGAAGGTGAGGGAAGAGCATGAGGAATTACAACTAAAGGAAGGTTTTTTTTAAAATATAGGGGATTTTTTTTCTTATATATTAAACAAAATTATTTATTAAAACCAGTGAAGGTGAGAATTTCCAAGTAACAAAAGACAGCAGAATGGAGAGATCACAGAATCATGGGATGGTTTGGGATGGAAGGGACCTTAAAGCTCACCCAGTCCCACCCCCTGCCATGGGCAGGGACACCTTCCACCATCCCAGGTGGCTCCAAGCCTTGTCCAACCTGGCCTTGGACACTTCCAGGGATGGGGCAGCCACAGCTTCTCTGGGCAACCTGTGCCAGGGCCTCCCTGCCCATTTCTTCCATAAAAATCCTAGAGAACTGTGCCACATGTTGTCACAGTGATCAAATACACATTATTCTTCCTCACTAATTTGAGATTAATTAGTGTCTTTCAATAGAAACGATTCAAACAAACAATACAGTGGCAAAACTTAATTTTCAGGAATTTCAACCACTAAAGTTACAGGTAAGTTTTATAGGAACAGACATAAAAAAGAAAAATATTCTATCTCACAGCAGTTTGTGCTGCAGTTAATTGAAAACACTTCTGAAACACCAACATTTCCAATATCCTTAAATAAAACTGGGTAAGCACTAAAATGAGTGTTGCTAGAAAACCAAGATCACTGTTTTATTTCTACAGCAGGTATTTGGGTAACTGATCCCTGCAGGTCTGCTGAGGAAAGGACTGAAAAGAATGGAGAGATCATAGAATCATGGAATGGTGGTAAACAACAGTTTCTCATATAATGCAGATTTACTGCTACAATGGAATGGTTTGGGATGGAAGGGACCTTAAAGCCCATCCAGTCTCACCCCCTGCCATGGGCAGGGACACCTTCCACCAGCCCAGGTTGCTCCAAGCCTTGTCCAACCTGGCCTTGGACACTTCCAGGGATGGGGCAGCATCTACAGCAGGTATTTGGGTAACTGATTCCTGCAGAGCTGCTGAGGAAGGGACTGAAAAGCAGGGAGAGGTGAAAGGCTGAACTTGCTGGAACTCACCTGAAAGAGGGTATTAGCACCTTGCAACCTGGCAGGACTGAGAGGAGCCACCGGGCTCAGGGTACTCCAGAAGTGGATGCTGGAGAGCAAAGGGCTGGGAGTCAGCAGGATGGGAGTCTGGAAGAGACAGGAGAGCTGAGTGAGACCTGCCCCTGGAGCAAGAGCACGTGGAAGCCCAGCCACAACCACCTCAGCTCCTGCAGCTGCCAGGGTTGGCTCCCAATTCCAGGAACTCCCATTCCTTGTTCCTCCTCCCTTCCCAGCCCCATCCGGCTCTCCCTCCCCTGGCTGAGCAATCAACCCTCTTTTCCCAACAGCTGCCAAATCCTGCTGGAACCTCCAGCAGAGCAATCCAGCACACAGCACCTGCAAGGACTTGGGAAAACTGGGATTAGGAACTCCAAAGGAGCAGACAGCGGGCACGAGCCTGGTCTGGGTGACACTGACAATATAAGGAACAATAAAACAAGTTTCCACCCAGCTTCTGAATACCCTGGATGCTCCAGGTTCACCAGCCAAACACTTCCCAGGGTGCCAAAAGAGCAATTCCACTTGCTTTTTTTTCCCTGTCTTCAGCCATTTCGTTTTTCAATCAGCAGCTTCCCTACAGCTTCACTCTAATTCCAATTTATTACAGGAAAGAGATTAAATAGATACAGAATGATTTAACAGCCTGGCTGGATTCAGTTCTCTTCCAAGTTTTCCATAAGACATAAAAGCTTTCCTCTCCCACACAAAGATAACAACCAAATTAAGCAGCTGCTCTTATTGCTGTTCATGTTCACTCACAAGACTCTGGCCTTAACTAAATGCCTATATTTGAGTAAAAAAAGCTGCCAAACAGACACCTCTGTGCTTCTCTATTTTTAAAGTATTTTCAGAACCAGCTGAAGGATGAGGGCAGGGTTTTGGGGTTTCTGAAATAATTCAGTCCCTCCCTGGCAAGGTTTACAAAGGATCCTGCTGGTGCTGGTTTGGGTTTTGCCTCCACATGCCAACCCTGCCCAGACGTGCAGGGCTGACACACCACTTGGGCACCTTTTTGGGGTGAAGTTAATACCAACTGTGAATAAAACTTAGGTTTTAATTAAAGAAAAAAAAAAAAAAGGAGGGGAGGGACATCTTGAGTTTCAGAACACCCCACACAATGAACCGACTATTCATTTTCCACTTGCCTTCCCTCACTGGTTTAAAATGTAACATAATCACCATTGTTACTTTAAAAAAAGAAACCAGGAAGGGAGTTTGGTTACCTGAGAGAAAAGTGCTGGAGTAAGAGAAGCAGTCGGGAGAGAAGGACTCAGGATCCCCAGAGGACTTGGATCGCTGCCTGTAATGACGAGAGTAGGAGCCAACTCCAGCCCTTTGGGTTTCTTAGATCTGGAGAGGTGATTGGCAAATTCCTTCTCCAGCACGGATGAATCCTGCTCTTTGGGCTCTGGGGATTGGTGCTGAAGGCTCTGGGCCTGCTCCAGCTGCTGGGAGGCCACGGACTCGATATCCGTGTCAATGTCCAGGTCGGGGTTGGAGCTCAGGGGCGGCGACGGGGGCGTGGAAGGGACCTGGAGGGTGGGAGACACCGAGGACATGGGGGGGGTCGGGGTGAAGCTGGTGGTGGTTAAGTTTGGCAAAGGTGCTGGAGCTTCGGGGACAGTTAACTTGGGCAGGACGAGCGTCTCCAAGGTCTGCAGGGTCTCCTCGGATCCCATGGGAAGGGAGGAGGCCGCGGCGGGAGCGGCGGAGGTGGTGGAGACCAGGGGGGCCGAGGGCGGCTTTTTGGAGGGCATGGTGACAAACTTGATGACGGAGGGGGTCGGCTCCTGAGGCTTCTTCTCCGTCAGCTTCTCCGCCGGGTTCTCGATCTTGATGGACCTGAAGAGTTTGACGCTGGAGCTGTTGAGGGAGTTGAGGGTGAAGGAGGAGTACAGGCCTGAGTGGATGTAGTCGTTGCGGCTCGAGGACTTCGCACACGACTGGGACTTCTCCTTCCCACAGTTTTCCACGTCCTTTGGAGCGCTGTTGACCTCCCCAAAGCCAGTCAGTTCAGGGTCTCCTTCTATCCGGCCCACGACAAGCGGGTCCATATTTAAAATCTCGGGGTACGAGACGAACTTGTACACAAACTTCTTACCGTTCACTTTCTTAATGATATTCTGTGGGTAAGAAGATACATACATATATTTAGACCTTCTTCAGATTAATTTTCTTCCTACAAACACTGCCCAAAATAGGCAGAGGAATTAAAGCCTGTAATCTTTCATCAAAAAATGTTTCTTTTTTTCCTGCCTTAAAAACACACTGCGTTCCTGCAATTCAGTCCTGCTCCCAAAGCAGCATTCCCAGAGCTCACAGACAAAACACTAGGTGAGCTTAACCTGACACTAAATACACCAAAAACAACCTAAAATCTGGCAATTAATTCTTATTTTAAATTAAAAAAAATTACCCATTAACCCCCTCAAGGATCACTGCCCTGGGTACAGTCAGGGTAATCTAACCTGCAGTATTAAAGGGTTTCTACAGCTTTGCAGAACTGAGAGCTGGTACTTGAAATCAAACCCCTTTTATGCTTAATAAGATGCTAATAAAGGAAAATAAGTAGCTGAACTAGTCAGTGGAATGCAGGATAATCAGCTACTTCAATACCACAAAACAGCATCTGTCAAACTTGTTTTGCTCCTTAAGTGAAATGCCACACGCAATTCGGGCTTAAGATCACCCTCATTTATCATGCAATTATTATTACTGAGATCTCTTCAGCACAAAGCCAGATTTGTGCCACCCAACAATAAACACCAGTAACTTACCACCTGCTACCCACTGAGGTTCCTCAGAAACTGTTTTATTTTTATCTCCCACACTCGCCCGGTAACAGTCGTGGGATAAACGGCTTATTGAAACCAAGGTAGGTCTTGAAGACATTTTGCTAAGCAAGAGAAGCTTCTTTTACTCAGCTGGGCTGAAATCACTGACCGTGTTAGAGGTGAAATTCTGAACACACGGAGAAAAATAAAAATACTTTGGGCTGATTCACTGAAAATCCTTATTTTGAAGCTCTTTTGTAGAGGCAACTGCAGGAAAGATCTTAAGGTGGTGCAACACTCACCACCTCAGTCATCATCTCCCAGCGTTGTTTTACCTGGAGTGTTGAGGATTTTAACCCTTGCAAGGGTATGCATTTTTGAAAAGGGGATTAGGATTCAACAATTTGAGTTAGCAAAGACATAAAGAGAAAACTTTGCACTTAGAACCTTATCAAATAAGCAATGGGGAGGAAACACAGCACAACGATACAAGAGATAAAAAAAATTAAAAAAAAAACAAAACAAACACTTTTAAACAAACCAGCACAACTTCCTTAAGCCTGGGAGGAAGAGGACACCCACCCATCCCCTTGCAGGGAATGAAAAAGGAAACAAAGCCCATTAGGCTGGTAAAGATGGATAAGGATTGGAGGGGGATTTGTTACCTTCACGTAGTAGTATCTGAGCGCTCGGCTGAGTTTATCATAGTTCATGCTGGGCTTGTTCTTGCGGATCCCCCACAGCCTGGCCACCTCCTCTGCCTGCAGCAGCTTGAACTCCCCGTCGTTGGAGGTCCAACAGATGATGTTCTTGTTCTGAGGCTCTTGGAGGAGCTGGAGGAGGAACTGCCACAGGGTGATAGCACTGTCCATAGCAGTGAGCTGCAAAGGCAGAGAGGCAGATCAGAGGCAGGTTAACAGCCCATTTCCCTCCTCTCCCTACAAGGGGGTGATGGAGCTGAGATGTTATTTCCAAAGCCAGCAAGAGTAAAAATTATTAGTCACCAGTCGTGAAAGATGTTCCCTGCAGAACAGAGAGGCTGAGTGCCAACTCTGTCGTCTCCTCCCACATGTCAGTACTTTTCACATGGGTTATATTTAGCCTCATTTAACTAAATCAGGTCACTTTGGGTAAGTTGCAGTGAGTCACTACCCCAAAAAAATGTTTCTAAGTTGTTCCATGTTCACCCACTCTGGCTTGTACTGCTTTATGAGAAACAGCTCAGGTACACCCAGGTAAAAAAAAAAAAAAAATTAAAAAAAAAATCAAACCTCCCACTCGCCGCCTCCTTTCCGTACCTGCTCCCACCTCCAACCTCAAAAACAGCAGATCAAGTAACTGCAAAGCTCCAGGAAGATGCCAGAGCAAAACAACTCCATTTTCCTTCAGTTCACACTTCTGCCTCTTTGTCATCAACCCTACTCCCCTCTCTTTCAAATCTTTCCTTTCCAAGTATCATCCCTTTTTTTTTTTTCCTAAGAGCGTAAACATGAAAGTAAATAAAATTATTTCAAGCGCTGCCTTTGCTTGTCTCAGTTCCTGCCATGTCTTACCTACACCAATGATTTAGGCTGAGACTTTCTAGGACTAATATCTGCCAGCTGATTCCTGAACTCCCAGAGTGGTTTTCCTCTCCATGTACAAATTCATCAAGGACAGACAAGTCATTTTTCCTTGACCATATCTGACTACACAAAACAGTATTTCCACAAACATCTTTAAGCAGGACACTAATAATTCTGTCTGCACAAAGGAAGTATAAGACACACCAGATGAAATATTAATTCAGCATCTCATATGGATTCTCTTAGTCTAGAATTGAGATAACTAATGAAGTTTAAATTTCTTCCTATGAAATAAAAACAAATCCAGGTGCTCTGGAATAAGAACCACCATGACGAAAGACATTAAAAATGGTTTTATATGTAAAATTGCTACATTTTTTTCCCCTCAGAAAAGAAACCTAAGAGTCCAGGGGTTTCTATCTGGATGAATCCACAGCCTGAGAGCCCAAGTGCTGTTCACAACCAAAGCAGAGGCATCAAGTCCAAGGACTTGTTTGAAGTCCATGTGTACACAGGGCTCAGTTTAAGATCCAGCCAGGACTGCCAGCTCATCTTTGCTCCCAAAGCCTTTTATTCCAATCTCATTACTGCCCAGCACTTATCCAGCCCTATATAAGGAAGGGAACAGTCTCCATGTGAGCCTCAGAGTTCAGTGAGCCCTGAGAAAGGATTACTGACAGTTTACACAAGGGCTCCACGTTCTTACCGAAATCAGGTGCCCCGGGGCAGGTGCCTTTTTTGGGCCCAGCCCATGACATTGAACCTGTTTTGCAGAATCCCTGCCCCATGGCAGGCTGGGTGACTCCCCAGGGCCGTGCCATCGATCAAGGCAGTTAAATTGCTGCAATTACACGGAACAATCTCAACCTGAAGGACACCCACACCACGCTGTTATGCTGGCCTAGGGTGCTTTCCCCGTTAATTACTGCGCACGTACAACTCCCTGCTTGCCCAAATTAATTGCTCAGTACTCTAAGAAACTCAAGGCTGTGCTTCCAGACTCATCCCATGGCGTGCCAGCTGATCCAAAGGGGATCAGCTCTGCCTCAGAACCGCCTGGAATCCCACGTTTGCCAGCAACATTCCGTGTCTCCAAGGCTGAGGCTGCGGCTCCTCATCCCCGGGGATGATGCACACGCATGTGTCGTGCAGACAGGAGGATCTGCAGAGCTGTCAATGCCAGGGATACGTGCTAAGAGAGAGCAGGAAGATGAAGTTGAGTGATTATTCCCACGCTGCATTTATCTCCAGCACTTTGGGAACCCGGATCAGCACTGCACCAAAACGGGCTGACTGATGCAACGGGAGGCAGCCACGTGGAAATCAGATTAGCAACAGAATTTCACAGTGGCAAAGCCTTTTTTTTCTCCTTTTTTTACCCCTCCTCCTAAAAATCCATGCAGGTTGCATCCCAGAATTTAACTGCTATTATTTCATTAGGCTGCTTCCCTTTAGGAAGTACCACCTCGCTGTAGCTCAAAGCTCATCAGCCTCACTCACAGCCAAGCATCCATACCTAGGTTTGGAATCACAGCTGGTTTGGAATCCAGCTGGAGATACACAAAGTTCAGTAACAGAGCACACATGGAGTAGCCAAAATTCTGGGAAGTACAAGATATTAAAAAAAATACACCTTTCCCTGCGTTGAGCTACGTCATTCTGAGGAGCATTTACCAAATTATGAGTTCATGCTGCCCAAATCCCCCAGTTTTCCAGCTGGAAGGATCCTTCTCCCAGGGGCAGAGTTACAGACTCTACTACTCTACATTGATCAAGCCCCTCCTGATGTTTCTGGCATTTACAGCTTTAGGGGTGTCACAATTTTGTCCATAATTTGGAGGACACCTTGAGTACCCTCAGCTTTAAAAAGTCTTGTGTTGGACACATTAACGGGGTGGAAAAGTCCTACTGAGACCCTGGTGTTAGAGAACAGGAGCAGGAAGCACTCTGGAATTGTTCATGGATGGCTTGTATTGCACATATTCCTCTTTATTCAATATTTACTGTGTATATCTAAAGGAAATGATGGAGATCCCTCAGTGGAACCTCATGGATACCTCAACAGAGCGGGGAACACAGAGTTTTTCTGAAGGTTTTACACACAAAGGGAAGGCCAGAAAACAACCCTCCACAGTGGTCAAAGCAATGGGATCACAGGTGGATCTTCAGACTCCAGGAGCAGCTGTGAACTGGGAAAGTATAAATGTGTTGTATTGTGAACCAAGACGTCTCACTTAACTTCAGCACAAAAGCTGCTTTGATACAGCACAAGAACACATCAAAGAACTCCTGTTTCTTCAGGAAAAAGCAGGGTATAAAAAAAAAAAAAGAGAAAAAAAAATCACACAAGATGTAAAATGAAAACCAGTAGAGGCGAGCTGAGCGCTTCTCTTTGTCTGAGAACCAACCAACACGTTGAAAAGGTTCCTCCTCCTCCAGCACCTGGGGCAGGAGGAGGCAGCTGCTGCTTTTCCTGAGCCTTTACCTTGCAACCACAGGGATGAGAAGTGGCTCAAGCTCCTTGTGCTGCCCAGAACATCTTCAGGTGCCCTGGAGAGGAGGATCCACGCCATGGCCATGTACTCAAACCCCTCCTGCACTGACACAATTCAGAAGATCCTCTTGTCCTTTTTATTCAAAACACCCCCCACGCTCTGCAGAGATTTTAAAGGCCCACTAGTTAGAAAGAAATCAGGATGAGGATAGGAACCCACTGTCCCACTCCTACCCTGCATTAACGATGCAAACAGCATTTCAACTTCTTTCAAATGCCATGAAAAGGCCCCAACCTCCTCTCACAGCTCCCTGTCAGCACAAATCTGATTGCTTTTTCTTCCGGCTGAATGCACCAATAATTACAAAACACACCCCTGCAAGCCATCTTTCTGCTGAAGGTTATTTTCGTGGAGAAAGGAAAAAGGTCTAAACTGAAAAGCCAACGAGGGAAGGAGGCAGAGAGGCAGCACTGCTGCTTGTGACAACGGCCTTGCCACTCCTGCACCATCTGAGCAGAGGCAAAAATAGTTGCTAGAGGCAGAGGGCAGTTATACTTTGTAATGAGCCTGCTAAAATAGAGCACTATTATTGTCTTGAGATCTTCTCTGACGCCTACGGATGACCCTTGAAGTTCACTGAGGAGCTGACAGAGTTTGGCTGCAAACCTGAGCCTTCTCCTGCTGCTGCTGCAGCTTCGAGGCCTTGTCTTTACAAAGCCTCAGAGTTTACAGCAGGGCCAGGACACGAGATATGGATCTTTTTCCGGTGACTTCTCCTCCTGCATCTGTGCCACAGCCACAAGCAGTGTGTGATTACAGAGCCCCGGGCTCTGCAGCTCCTGGGCAGGAGGAGGGTGTGCAGCCAGGGGTGGCACAGCAGCACGTGGGAATCTCACCCTAATCTCACCCAGCAGCTACACTTACTGAGGCCAAATAAACTCCCTCTGTGCTCAAAAAGGACAGGCACCCCTGGCCAGGCCCTGAGGAGGGAGCAGAGGCAGGATTAGGGGGGACTTAGGCCTGGTCTAACCATGTTCAAGGTCTTGTGGCAGATTTCCTGCGCTTTGACTGGACACCGAGTAATCCCCCAGTAATCTTTCACCTCCACTCCTTCCAACAGCCTCTCTCCCCAGCATCTGCAGCCTGATGAGTTCTGCAGATGGGCTGAGTAAAACCCACACAGGAACAGAGATGGAGCAAAAGGAAAGGGAGGATGTCACACAGTCACACAGCGAGGACAAAACCGCCACAATTTAACCGGCTGGGTCGCAGCTGTCACACACAGGGGAGACACAGAAACCTCTGCTCAGCTCAAAAATAACGAAATTAAGGCAGCAACAGGTCTGGGGGACCTCACAGTGGCACAGGTGAGACATTCAGGCGAGCAAATCAAGGCTTCAGCTCCGGGAAATTCCAGGAAATCCGGGCTTGCTGCGAACACAACACGGAACCGGTCCCACTTCACCCCGCAGAGCCATTCCCAGGGGTTCTCTCAGCAGCCTGAGATGGCCATGGTGTGTGAACAGGAGGAATTTGGAGACAATAACTCCTGCCCCGTTGTGCAATATTCCTGTGGACACAAGGCCCTGAGAGCTGTTCCAGGAAAACAAACAACCAGGGTTGGCTGAAGGAGACTTTTGGAGGTCACAGGTCCAAGGCCGGGTTCCAAACCTCAAAAGTCTGATCAGGTTTTTTCAATGTCTTTGTCCAGACAGCTAAATAAATTCATAAATAAGTGGCTGCCCTACCCCTTTTATTTCAGTGGAGGGGCAGGGAGGTGGGACACGGCTGATAAAGTATCTAATTAAGTGCTTATCAAAATACAACCAAGCAACCATTTCATTAGCACAGCACTGGAAATATCCCTTCACTAATAAACCTTTCACAAAAGCTTTTCAAGCTCCTGAGACTGTGGCTCACCTGAACTGGTACTTTTAGGATTTTATCAATTTTAATTAATTTTAGAATGAGGGAAAAAAACCCCTATTGTCCAAAAAACAGCTATTACATACCCTGATGTGGTGGAAAGCATGGAAGGGTATTGAGTCCTTTTCCAGAACACACAGACAGGTGAAATACCAGGTTAAAAACTGTTATATGTGTAAAATAAAGTTATTATTCACAAGGAATTAAAGCAGAGATGCAGAATTCCACACCTGCAACACCACCCTCCAAAAAATTCCAAACCCTGGCAGCTTTCCAAGTAGCAATCAAATTGTACCTTCTCTAATAACTAAGTAAAAATCAGGTAAGAATAAGGGACAAAAAAACCACTCTAGACCCAATAAATCCTTGTTTTCCCCTGTTGTTTCCAAAGGAGTCAGGAAAATCAGCCTGTTCTGAAGGAGAAGTCGTGGTTATCGAGGCAGGAAGTTCCTTGGAAGGAAATGCTGGAGGATGTCCTTATGATAAGAGCTGCTCCAGAGTTTTCACTGCCTAATCCCACTCCAAGCCTCTTTTCTTTTTTTTTTTTTTAAGCTCAAAACAAATGTTGCAATAAATTTTGGGTTCCTGGCTCAAAAATTTCAGTTGCCTCAGATGAAATTTAGGTGTTAACAATTATTTCGGGACTCGGGAACAAACTGTTTCAGCTTTTTAACTCCCAAGAAATAAGTATTTGTTTTTCTTAGTATTTTCTAGTGTTTCCTCAGTTATTTTTCTACTTGCTTCCTATTTCTCACTTGCTTCCTGAATTAGCAAACCAGGATCAGAAAACAAGCCATGAAGGACAGCAGTGGCATCAGGATTCCCATTGGAATGCAGGCTCAGGTTGGCAGTGGATGAGCCAAACAGCTTTTTGGGGATTTTTTTCTAATCTCCACACAGAGACAATGATGCCCCTTTGTTACCAAACAGGATTTTGATCATCACGACTGACACTTGAAAACGTTTAAACTGATGGAAAACAGTGAAAAAGGGGATTTCAAAGTGCTTTTCTCCAGCTGCTCCAATCACTGACCCTCCAACCCCGGCTGAGGATGACTGACATGCCAGCATTGATAGTTTTATGGATAAACCTCATTTCCCTGCTTTTCCACAGTCTGATGAACAGTCTCCCTTCCCTAGCTCTCCTTTTTTTTAGAATATGAGAGCACAGAGAACATGGGAAGGTTTAGGACAAAGAGAGAGAACTGGAAACTTCAAACCCAAAGCACCTTTGATCAGTCCCTGCCTGGTTTGTGGCACTGATGGGATTGTTCCTGACTAAGCCATAAAAACACTGATTTCCCTGGAAGCTCCTAAGCAGATTACACTTGCTTCCTCCTGAAGATGGGCTGAGGGGGATGTTTACCAACAGCAGATTAAATTGGCTTCAGTGGGCACGAGTGAAGCAGAAGCATCCTCAGTTCAGAGCAAGGTCTGCACTGTGGAACGACCCCAAACAACAGGTTAAATGGTTCACGTCCATCCCAGCTTGATTATGAAAGGGAAGTCTCATTTAAGCTGGAAAAGCTCTCCTTTAACAATGTTTATGATACACTCAGCCCCGTTGCCATGGGGATGGAACAACTATTCCCTCCAAACAGGCGCTGAGACCCTAAAAATAAACAGCCCGACCGAAATCACGAACACGCCGCTGTGTCAGGCACGGGGATCGTGTTTGTTGGGAACAGGATGAGGAGAGAGAAATGCTAATGACTGGATTCTAACCCCCCCAACGCCCACAAAGCAATCCCTGTGTTTCTCAGGAGCTGCTCCTTAAAAACCACCACGGAAGGGCTCTGGATTCCAGCCCCAAGGCACAGCACAGGGGGATTAGTGGAGGTTGGCTGTGGAGGTAACACAGGTGTGTGTGTACATGTGCATACAAAATAAAGGATCCCAGCAGGGATTTGCATGCTTTCCCCTCCGCCTCCCTCATTGATGTGGGCAGGAATCCACCCAGCTCAGGGAGAGCAGTGCAGGAGGATTGCGAAAAAAAAAAAATAGTGGTGGAGCGAGGAATTGAAAAACAACCACCCCCTGGATCCAGCCAACCAACCCACCCTGGGATCCAAACAACCCCTGGATC